AGTTGTACTACCAAATTGACTTTATGCATTTCAAACTACTATTTAAAAATATTACAACTAAGTCAAACTACTGATTGTTAGCAAGTTAGTTTTTTTAAAAAGTAACAATGAATAATTTGACTTCAATATTCCCTGTCCTACATTATCAGTAGGTTTACATATTTGGACAGAAAATGAGAGAAAGACTGGGATAAATCAAAATACTATTGGAAGTTATTGTCTAATAATAGAAATCAGGAAAAAATTGCAGGACATATTTCTTAGTCTATTCAGTGCTAACACTATAGCCGATAGGTTAAACATTAAAAAAAAAAAACCTACCAAAAACTATTATGATAAAATTTTGTCATATTTAACTGCACTTGACCATTTACTAAAATATAGACAAGTCTGTATTGTGTGATCAATAAGAAACAGTACTACTGAAATTATTTCGTTTATTCACAACACATACTAATATTATATAATATATAAAATTGTATTTAAATGGGTGATAGATACTAGGAATAACAAAAGAAATAAAACCCAGACAGGTCCCGTATTTATAAACTTATAGCCCAGAGAGAAAAATACAGTTAAACAAGCAGTTCCAGCACAGTATTGGTAGGTGCATTTAAAGAGGCAGATACAATGAGCTCCACTGGGATAGAGGATCAATGAACAGAAGGCTTCTCAGAGAAAGTGCCATCTCAGCGGGGTCGTGGAAAACTTGAGTTCTGTTAGAAGCAAAACTTGCTCAGCTGTTCAGACAAGGGGCACAGAGCATGTTGGAATGAAAAAACTCAGTATGCTTTGTCCTACGAATGGTGTAGGGCGTATTATTATGGACTCGTAGATTTTTATATAGTCAATGCATACCAATGAATTATGGTTATTTTTTCTTTTTAATATTTATATTGTCCCATTTTTAGCCAATGGAACCCCTTTCAAGCTGGCTCGAGTTCTTTTGACATGATTCACTGATTTTGAGAACTTCCTGCTTTGTGGCACAATGAGATGTCCTGAGCTCACCTTCTAAATTACCTACTCAAGACCTGGGAGCAGCCATTAGTCCAGGAATCCCTGGTACCTGTAGTGGGGAATGGCATTTAGAGACCTAAATTTGGGCAGTAGGGGTGGTTATTGTCCCTGAAGCATTATGGACTAGGTTCTTTCTGGGGACAGAACTATAATCTTTTAATCATGAGATGATGATGATGATGATACAATAGATAAATCATCTGCTCAGGGTAGCAGATGATCAAAATTAACCTCACTAACCCGATAACCTGGGAAGAACACAGTGTCACTTTTATAGTATTCCAGCTAGGAATGCATGTCTTCCATCTAATCACAAGGAAGCATCAGACAAACTCAAAATGGGTTAATGTTATATGACAAAGAAAGATGGAGAAAATGTTCCACACTGAAGAAGACCAAAGAGACATAACAACTAAATGTAATTCCTGGATCTTAAACTGGAGGGGAAAAAATAACAACAACAACGAAACTGTTATGGAGGACATTGTTGGGTCAGTTGACATGCTTAGAATATGGATAGTAGATTAGATAGAAGTATTGAATCAATGTTAAGTTCATTGAAGTTAAAACTGTATGAAAAAGAATATTATTATTAGAAATACATACTCAACCATGATTTATCCAACTTACTCTCAACTGTTTCAGAATAGAAATCTTGTGTGTGTGTGTGTGTGTGTGTGTGTGTGTGTGTGTGTGTGTGTAGACAGAGCAAATGACAAAACAAATGGGGCAAGATTTTAATAGTAGATGAATCTGGGAAGATGGTAAAATAATTTTCCTTGTATTATTCTTGCAACTTCTAAGTTCGCAAAACTGTAAGTTCGAAATTATTTTCAAATATAAAGTCTAAGAAGTCATGAGTTTATGTAGATACTTCAAATTCAATTTTCAATTATTTACTTAACTTCTTTGATTTTATATTTATACTGAACATCTTCATTTCTAACAACATAAACATAATTATTTATCTCATACACTTAATTATTTCAAACTAATAACATCAGTATTGCCACTAACAATAAAATTAACAAATGAAGTTTGAGATTTTCTTGCAGTTCTCTTTTGTCCTTACAATATATCCCACTAAGTTTGCACATCTACTGTGCTCTAAAATTATTTGAGGGCCGGCCCGGTGGCGCACTGCTACAGTGCGCCGCTTGGGAGTGTGACGGCACTCCCGCCGAGGGTTTGGATCCCACATACAGACCGGTTCCCGCTCACTGGCTGAGCGAGGTGCGGGTGCGACACTGAGGGTTGCGATCCCGTGGCCGGTCCTGGTCCGGTACGGGCGCGACACTGAGGGTTGCGATCCGTTGCCGGACACGAAAAAAGACAAAAAGGAAAAAAAAATTATTTGAAATAATGCTTTTCATAGTGTGTGATTATATTACCAACTTGATAAATGGTTCATTTGTTTGTTATTTTCAATTTTAGGAATTATTTTACTTAACTTTTTTTTTTAAATTTGTTTTTGGTGGCTGGCTGGTACACAATTTAAGGAATTATTTTAAACTTAATTTTATTTTTGAATGTATAAAATTTTACATGATGTGACGGTTACAACTTGAAAACAAAGTATGGTTCTAAATTTAAAAGTTTAAACCAAAGTATATTCAGAAACATGTTACTTTTTTTTTCATGCTCAGCAATAGATACCAGTTTAAAATTATAGCTTCTGGTTTACCTATCCTGTGTGTGTTTCTTTGTGTGTGTGTGTGTGTGTGTGTGTTTAGCCTATACAAAAGGTCGTATACTATATATACACTGTCCCCTATGTTGCCTTTTTAACTTAACGTTATATCCTGGGATTCTCTCATATCAATATTCTTCTTTTAATGGTTTTATAGTACTTCATATAGGGAAATTTACATAGTTTCAATTATTAAGATGTACATTAGTTTCATTCAGACAGTATTTATTGATGGATATTTTTGTGTATTAGTAATCTTTTACTGTTATAAATAATGCTGCGTATGCCATTTTGTATGTGTACAGGTATGTTACAAAATAATATAAAAATAAAGTTAAAATTTAATAAAGAAGAAATGGTACATGGCAGTAGACAGTTTGTTGAATGGCACAAATAGCACCTGAGTGTTGAGTCTGGGCTCTAAAAATACTGTAGAAATTTA